TCTCTACTATTTTCATTTTTCATAATCCGGCCCCTCCCCCTTTCCACTTTTATAAACCAAAACATTCCTTATAGCAGCAAAACAAAGCACAATCCCAACAGCTAGGGCACCCCCCCCCTTCAGTTTCTCTGCACTCTGCACACCTGTCTGCTCCTCTCTCACTGTGGCCATGTGGAGCTATTTGTCGGTCAGGAGGAAAATGAGCTGCTTAAGAAAAAGAAGGAAGAAGCGACCTCATTCAGCTGCCTTTTTTGCATTTTTTGCATATACATATCTCTCTCTCTCTCTCTCTCTCTCTCTCTCTCTCTCTCTCTCTCTCTTTCTCTCTCTCTTTCTCTCTCTCTCTCTCTCTGTGTGCCTCAGCTGTCTGTCAGCCCCCCTGCCGCTCCCCCAGCTGTCTCAGCTCCCCGAACGAGCAGCCTCACAACAATACAGGTCAGAGGTCAAGAGAAAGAACAGGCTGCACTTACAATGGACCAGTGGCGCCCGCTAAAAACAATCACTCCCTTTTTCTCCCTCACTTCTCTCGCCCTGCCGAGGCTGGAAAAGACAAACCTGCATAGATGTTGCTGAGCGGGGTCCACTTGATGGACAACAGCCTGAGCCTGAGGTGCCCCACTTTTTTTTTTAGCCAATAATAAACACATGCAGACTCACACAGTCCCTCTTCTCTTTCACAGGCACACAAACACTTGTTCCCTTGCTTTCCACTCCAGCTCCGCACTCCATCACCCTCCTCTTTGTTCAGGGTTGAAGAACCTCCGTGTTGACCAGTATCACAAAGCTTTAGTCAATGGCGGCTCTTGGTTTGATTGCAGCGAACGTTTGGCAAGAAAGGCGGTCTTCAGTGGCAGGATTGGAGACTTTCAGTGGAGTTATGTGATGTACTCCAGTCTCAATGCGTGAAAAGCAGAGGTCAAGGTTTGCTAAAGCATCAGCCTTCTCAATTCCAGCTCAAACAAAGTGCATCTTACCATGTAGATGTGCAAAATTTTAACCTGTTCTGCTGCTGCTGGTTTTGTGGTTGAGGTCCCTTTTTTTCACTAACATTAATGAAATATATATCAGTGGAAATGTGTTTTTTTTTTTTGATTTACAGAACCAGACACAAATTGGATTTGTGAACAAGCAAGTAAGCAGGGAAGTGTTGTTATTGTGTTTTTTAATTGTAAAAGTAATTTCTCAGCATGACTGTTGTACATCCTTTTTAAGTCAGGAAAGCTGCTGTCTGTTTTATCCCAGCATGGTTCTTTGAGGAGAGATTTGAAATGTTTTCACAGCAGGGGGTTCTCACCCCCAACCCTTTCGTTCTGCATTGCTCGCTAGCAGCTCAACACAGAGTCACATTTCACACACCGAGAGCCCACAGTGTCCTTGTTCATCAAATAACAGAGTTATGGGGAAGTATATTTTATTTGACTATTCTAATTAAAAATGTGTCAATTTACATTCCACTGACAGACCACTAGGGGCCATGCAGAAAGATGTTAATAGCCTCTGTCATTTTTAGGGATGCATAATGATGCTGGAATTATATTAGTATCAACAGATAATTGCTTTGAAAAAATGATCAGCAATGGATGGCTGATTAGATTTGACCAATATTTGATGACATATTTATTGTATTTCTGAAGAACATTTTGGGGATGCTGCGCTTCTGTAATGAAATATCTGCATTTTATTAATTTTACTGCATTTCTGTAGACCTGTATGTTAGGTTTCTCTGCAGTGCTAATCCAGGTGAATTTAGTCCCAATTGAGGCATTTTATTTCATTCTGAAAGTCTGTATATCCATGTATAACAGCTTAAGTATAGTGGAAAACACACTTTTATTTCTTCATTGAAAATAGTATTAATCATAATACAGTGCTGATATTTCTTGTATGTGTAAAGTCCACTCTTAGGAATGTCTACTGTTTTAAAAAATGATGGTTCAGACAGTGGTTCTATATAGAACCATGAACACTCACTTCTTTGCATGGTGAAATAGTTCTTTAGATTGACAGATAGATGGAGAATGTGTTGTGTGTGGTTCTATACAGAACCATTTTGAAAAGGGTTCTGTTATTGTTACAATGTCAAGCTTATAACAATAGAAAAAACTTTTTGGTGCTGTATAGAACACTTCTAAAGAAATGTATATAAAACTATATACAATCAGTTTTCAGTCAATCTGAAGAACCATTTAACCTTTAAGCATGCAAGTGATTAAAATGTCCATGGTTCTATATAGAACCATTGTCTTTACTATAGAACCCTTGAAGAGCCATCTTGAGTGTATCATGAAAAAAAAAGAAAATTCATAATGCATTCCTGAAAGAAACCGTTCAAATGTTTGTTTCGGATTCAGTATCAGCAGATGTGTACGGGAAAATAGTAGCTATCTCTATAAGCCCAGAATTCCCATATCTGTGCGTAACTCACCCTGATTGACTGTTGTAGCGAACACTCTTATAATAAATGCCCCAAAGAAGTTTGAATCAATGCAATAGAATCATTCAAAAAACCTGTGAATTAATTATTCTTTAAAGAACCATTCTAGCAATTTTATTCTTTTTTTTCTTAACCACACAATGCAGAACAGTTTGTTTAAGCCAAGAACCATTGAGAAACCTTTTTTTTTTAAGAGAGTGTGAGTATCAGTCTCCTGCTTTGTATGTGTTTGTTTTGTTGTTTCATATAATACTGTTGGCCTGAGATGGCTGGGAAATTATGAGTGAGAGTGAAAGGGGCTGCAGTGACAGTCACCTGTTCCACAGCCCTGAGTTCCCATGGCTCCCCGAGGCCAGCATGTCCTGACTTACAGCTCCTCTCACTTCTCCACTCAGTTCCCACCACACACACATTCTCATCTCACTCCGTTCTTTTGTTCCGGTACTTTGTGGACACAGAATGCAAAAAATGCACCAATGAATGAATTTATCTGGCTATGACTTACATTTTCACACTATATGAGTTTCTCAGCTTTTGATTTGTTCTGATAGATTAGTCATTTCAGAATATTGTAGCTCTGTTTTTCTGTTGTTACTTTATTCCATTTGAAAATGTCAGCTGCCCTTTACAGTGTTTGAACACTCTGACAAATGGACCAAGAGGGTGGACCAACAGTCTGTAATTACTTTGTAGTGACATTAAAGTTAAGAATATTTTTTTCTTTCTCCTGTAAACAACCATATGATGTTTTCTTACCACGTGCAATATTTTAGGTGTATTTTACTTTATAGTACACTAAGAAAGTAGGAATCTACAGCAGTACGCTTGATAAGCTGTAGGACCCACAAATGATCTTCTTTCCCTGGAATAATTTTATTTATTGTGAAGTACTCTCAACCACACTGTTCCCTGAGAAACGAACATATCTACACTCGTCCCAAAAAGGGTTCTAGATTATACCAAAAAAGGCTCAATGGCTTGTGATTCTCAATCTGGTTCTCAGTGCCTCCCAGACCTACATTTTTCCTCTCTCACTGTTGTGTGTTGGGTTGGAGTGAAAATGTGGAACATTGAGGGGGCCCTGACAACACTGTCCCTGGGGCAGTACCCCTCTTGTCACTGGGGTGGTACCCTCAAGGGTACATCTCAGTACCTTTAGTCAGGGAACATAACTGTACCATAATCCATTGAAATGATATTTTCCAAGTTGTATTGGCTCCACACACCCTGTCTCGTCTCCAGGCTTTTATTTTATTGTTCTGTTTTAAAACATTAGATTATTAAAAGGTACAAATACGAACTTTTAACCTGGAAAAACTTATTTAAGGTACACAATTGGACCTTAAAACCACTGTTGTACCTTTGAGGGAACATTTACATTGTTTGCACCTTGATGAATGAAAAATGTACCTGCACAGAACCTTTTTTTCTAACAGTGTAGAGCAGAACAAACTAAACACGCAAAGAACAATGTATGCTTTCAAATAGCTGTCTGAGTTGTCACTGTTTTACCCTTGAACCCTTGAAGATGCTCTTTTTTGAGGAATGTAAACCTCGGAGAATAACTATTCTTTGTGATGGAAAACTTCTTGTATAAAGTTCTAACTAGCACCAAAAAGGTTTCCACTGTTGTTACAAGTCAAATAACTTGTAGTACCATATAGAGCTGTGTAGAACAGATGTATTTATATTTTATGAGTATTTTGTTAGGTTCAGGGAACATCACAGAATAATCACAGATCAATCACCTGAGTGAAATCTGCTGAATCAAATTTACTTTAAATGCAACATGTCTCCTACATGCTCCGCTTCATAGCATCGCTTCTGACTGTTTTTAACTAATGAAGTTTTAGGCTAAAAAGGTTTTTTTCGTTTGTTTTTTTTTCCATATAGAGGATCTGGGTCAGAAAAAAATGAAAATGACATACATGATTTGTATATAATAAAAGAATATTTATTTTATTAAGTGCGAAACAGGTAAATATTTACAAAACATTTTGCAAAACTGACAAATACAGTGGAGAATGACACGAAAAAATACATTAACCCAAAACATTTCCAATAAATAAATTAAATACTTCATGAGTAATGGTATCAGTGGCTGGCAATGTACCAAGAATGTGAGAAATCAGTGCTGACCGATGCCATAAAGACATACAGTCAAAATAAATATTAAATACAGCTATAAATAAAAACATTTTTGTTCATATGGCAAGACGTATTGCTTTGTCAAGCATTTTTGGAGGGTGTTTATCAAAATAGGCAGAAAAAAATTCTTTTTGAGGCTTTAGAAAAATGTGCGTGCATTTGTGATCTTTACAGTCTTTACAGGATATGCATAAGATTCCTTATCGAGTCTGTGAGAGAAGAAAATCCGGAACAAATAACAATTAGAACTCAGTGATGACAAGTACAAGAATAAATTAATCAAAATATGTATCTCTGTCTCTTGCAGGACTGTCTCAGTGGTTCCTGGATGTCCGACATAGTGGCTGCAAACTGTCCCTTGGCTCCTGCTTGATCTCTGGACACATGCACCATGGAACTGTGGAGGGTCCATGGCTGTTCATTCACTGTAAATGGTGCTCATCTGTGAAGTCACCATATGTGGTGGGGCGAACGACTCGAAGGCCATGTCTAAGGGTAGCTCATAACGTGAGCCAGGGAACAGTGCATGGCCCTGGGGGCCTGGGAGTCTAGCCATGGAGGACGGTGGGTAATGGTGAGAGGAGAGATAGTGGGCTGGGTGTGTGGGATGTGGTGTGTAGTTCCTCTCCGTCTCGTGAGGTGATGGCTCTTGCTTGAGGGCGAAGTTGCCACTGATGCTGAGGGGTGGCGTGAGTGGGCCGTCGTATGGCGGCGTGCCATTGCTACATTCGTTGGGCGAGTGATTCTCATAAGCGGCACCTTTGAAGTCCTTCAGGTGTAGTAGGTGTGAAGCCTCCAGAGAACCATAAGGGGGGCTGGGCAAGCCAGGTGATGGGTAACTCAGGGAGTGTCCCTGCTGAATGCCCACACCACCCGCTCCTGGACCACCGCACTTCTCGTCCAGCTTATTGATCAGCATGGCCGAAGGTCCTAGCTGGAGGCAGCCAGCCACCAGGTTGCTGGTTGGTTGTGAGAGCCCCTTGCAGAGCATCTCCACAAAGCCGTGACTCTCCGGCGACTGGCCACTCTCCAGAACCTCAGACAGTGCCCAGATGTAGTTGCGGGCCAGCCGCAGGGTCTCGATCTTGGACAGCTTCTGGGTCTTGGAGTAACAGGGCATGACCCGCCGAAGGTTGTCCAGGGCATCATTCAATCCGTGCATGCGCGTGCGCTCTCTGGCGTTTGCTTTGACGCGACGGGCACGGAAGCGCTCCAGTCTGGCTTTGGTCATCTTCTTCTTCTTAGGTCCCCTCCGTTTGGGTGCTTTCTCCCCATCTAGACCAGACTCTTCCTCTTCCTCCTCCTCTTCCTCCTCCATGTCCTCGCTGCCGAGATCTACAGGGCCACGGTTGCCCCTGTTCGGGTTGTAGCGGCCCCCCGTCTCGGGAGTCTGGTCCCCATCTTGAGAGCTCAGGTCCTCCTCAATCCAGCCCAAAGAGCTGACCAGTTCTGTCATATCTCCAGACCCCTTCCCATAAGGTTTGGTCATCATCGTGATCTGAGGACACAGCACCAAACAGCTGTTAATTCACCAGAATTAGATTTTAATCAGATATTTAATGAGGTTGAGTACTGAAACAAAAGATTTTTGTTATGCTATCTGATCTGTCCTATCTATCCTATTCTACTGATTAGGAGAGAAAATGCTTCTGGGTACCTTTCATCACATTTCAGCACTAGAGAGTGGACAGCTCAGAGGAAAAGGCACCAGTGCTGAAATGCAGCCCCAGTGCTAAAACACTTTTGTTTATATTAAAAAAGCATATTATTAACCCTCATAATTGTTTTCAGCAGCACTAGGATTCCCAGACTCAGCGCATCAGCCCTGTGAGAGACTCGTATGTGAACCCTGCTGTTTTAGACCGTTGTGTCGTCATGTTGGAGACGCTGTCAATCTGGGACACAGCAGGATTTAGCTCGCAGATCAAGCCCTCGGATTTAATTTTATGGGCAAAACGGAGACCAACCATGGGGCACAGCCAAACAAACACAGCTTACATTGTTCAGTTCGGTCTGAATCGAGAGGTTTCAGTTTTTATATAAAGAAGAAAAGAGGAGCCCGAAGCGAAATGAGAGTGTCTGTCTGCACGCAGAACTTCTAAAGCTTTCAGCCTCGAGACCATTTTGGTTGAACTTCTTAAGCAGCTTCAGCTTCAGCTGTGTTCCATTGTCCTGTTGTTGTTGATTTGTGCATCAGTGCGTGTCATCTGTTCAAAAGTGGGGCGCTAAAGTTTAGAATAATGCACTCCAGGCCAGCACGTCCTATATTATACACCAGTTTCTCAATAGATTCAGATAAATGAATCTGTCTGCTACTGTCAGTTATTTCTGACTTGAATTGTTCCAGGTGAATGTTGTGGAATTCCTCAATATAAAGACGTGCTTAGCGGCTGAACTAACATAAAACTACGTTTTGTGAACTAAGAAAACAGTAATGCAGTCGAGGCACAATTACACCGTGTGAACTACTAAATAATGCAAATATGATTGAAATGAACAAATTTGTGAATTATAAATAATGATACTTTAAAATTATTTTAGTTATTTCAAACATTGATAAGCCCTGAATGTAGAACGCATATGAACTAACGCAATGATGCATCAGAATGAATCTTCAAACTTCTGCAAAAATCAGTCGTATTTTGATAAACGGTGTTCAAACTTACCTCTTTATCTCACAGCTCAATCTGGACTCTGAGAAAATCCTCCAGCAAGGCAGACTGTGTTTACTTTAGCTGATACTGCGGGGAGGTCTCTCTCTCTCTCTCTCTCTCTCTCTCTCTATCTATCTATCTATCTCTCTCTCTGTTGTCCTCCTCTCAGCTCTCCATCCGAGCGTCCGAGTGCGCTCCTGTCTCACCGACGTGCGCGGGGCCTTTTGCCTTTGGTGAAGCGGGTTAAGCCCCGCCTGTAGCCGACTGTGACTCCACCCGTTACAGCTGCCCCGCCCCTTTATGGGATCCAAACTCGCGTGGCGGGCTCGTGGCTACAAGCTTTGGGGGGAGAAGCACTCATTTGGCACCGACCTTTATGTGTCTGTCTGTGTGTGTGTGTGTCGTGCAGCAATCCCCCCACACGCATTTTTTCTCTCATTTCCAAACACCTACGTCGAGACAAATAAATACATATATACATCATACATATGTATGTATATGTATGTATGAGTGTGTGTGTATGTATATACAAGTGTAGCTTGTTAACCCTGGTAAAGTTTCAAAACATGCCTTTCTTTTCTCCATTCACTGTTTTCTGTGATGTCACGAAAACCAGCACATTTACACATATCCACCCGAAAGGAGATAAGCCCCGCCCCTGTACACTGAGGTTATACGCTGTGTTTTAGCCCGGACTGCTTTTTGAACGAAGCGCAATGCAGAGCTGCCAATCAGAGCAGTCATTGACATACATCAGTCTTAAGAGCGCAGTGACAAAAATCACCTGTTTAACTGTGAAGGGTGAAGAGATAAAGACAGTTAGGACTGTATGTGGTATATTAGACACACAAACACTAGAGGACCTCAGAGAGAGAGTTAGAATACAAGACAAATAAACTTTTCCCAACTCTCTGTTTAGCTTCTCTCAGAGCGCAGTAAACCGGGGGGGGGGCTCGGGGGAGAAGGGGCGCTCGCCCCTCTGGCTGCGTGTAAATGAGTGTGACAGCTTGATGCGGTGTGTGAGCAGGTGTGTGTGTGTGTGTGTGTGTGTGTGTGTTTTACCCGCCCCATTCACTCATTAGCGCCCTGCAGCCTCAACGCTCAGTCACCCAAACGGCCTCACGCGCCTGGTGGAAGTTTCAAATCGGGCGTTTTAAAAAAGAGCGAATTTCTTTATAATAACTAATACAGACCAGCTTAAACCGTAACTCCCTTCCAGCACTCAGTGAGTGAGGTCTTATTACAGTGTGTTCGCTACGTTCTTAAAAATAAAGGTGCTAGAAATAGTTCTGCACGCGATGCCATACAAGAAACACTTTTTGGTTCCCTATAAACAGCCTTTCAATGGATGGTTGTTTAGAGAACCATTTTTGTAAATGAACCCTGCTGAAAACAGACCATTACAACCATTAGCATTAAAACCTGATGCGTTTGCTTTTTAATGGGAATTGGCTTAATGGTTAGAGACCACTAGGTTCCTGTAGAACACCTTTAGATCCCATTAGGAAACCATCAGATGCATCTGATATCAGTCACAGATCAACTGGTAAACCATTAGAGTCCTTTACACTGTGATATCAACCAATCAGGAAAACACAGAATACTATTAGAGACTATTGGACATCAGCAGAAACCAACAGACACTTTTAACGGTTTCTATGATTTTTTTAAACAGGGAACCTTTTTTAAAAGATAAAAGAACCTTCAGGTAGTATTAAGAAAAACTGTAAAGGACTCATAAACTGGTCTATGAAGGTTCTTTAAACCTATAAAAGGTCACACATTTTTTTAATGACTCTTTGGGAAACCCAAAGTGGTTCCTCTGTCACTCAAAGAACCGTTAAAAGTGTACAGATGTATTATAATGTATTAAATATTGAAGTATATATTTATTTTATAGGCTCATCGAAACATCTTACGTCACAGAACTGACCAATCACTGAATCACACACTCAGCGATTTGATATCATAGTCCGCTTCAGAGCAGCTCGTGGGAGGATTTTCAGCCTGTTAAAGTTTGTTTTGTCTAAACACACAGAGAGATTCTGACTCTGACTCTGGGAGTGAGGCAGGTGAAGGCAGAGTGAAGTGAGAGAGTGAGTGACTTGTTGGAGAGCCGGAGGAAAGCGGTTCGTACTGGATGAGTGTTTTGTGTTTATTTAACGACGATCAATAAAAGTCCCTGTTTGCGTGTTAAACTCGGCTCAGTGATCTGTCACTCACTAACGCGAAGCTCGTGCAGCATCTCTGCGCTTTTGGCGTCTTTGTTCCGCTTTTAACTTTCAGCAGAACAAAGACGAGCTGAACGCGCGCGACGCGTGACGTGATGGTACCGCGCGCGTGGCGCCGTTGTTACTGCACGCGCCCAGATTGATCCTGCTGAGATGGTCACGAGACTGACTCTCTCTCTCTCTCTCTGTCTCTCTCTCTCTCTCTTTCTGTGTTTTCCTCCTCTCATCCTCTACGACGCTGTTTTTAGTAAAGAACAGAAGTGATCTAAACTTTTATTCAGGAGCCAAAAACAATTTTATTATTAATATTTTTAATGTGTCACTCTGACTATCCGGACCAATCAATGCTACGACTAATATCCGGGTATTTGAAACAATACAGTCTTGGTGAAACGACTAATCTGAAAATAATTAATTAATTATTCTCTCTCTCTCTCTCTCTCTCTCTCTCTCTCTCTCTCTCTCTCTCTCTCTCTCTCATGTTAATAAGAAATGAATGTTTAGTGGTCGAGACTCCAAGTCTACATACACCAGGCAAATACAACAGGTGTTTCCCATCACAGAGAACCATTTATGCATTTAAATGATTCTTTGAGTTTTCAGTTCTGTATATAAGCATTGCCTTCACTAAAGAACCCTTGAAGAACCTTTTTATTTGAAGGCATAGGACTGCAACGGTAAGGAATATTTCAGTAATAATTTTAAGGTTAGAATACAATATATGCATACTCATATTTTTAAACATGTTTTATAAACACACTTTTAAAAAAATACTTTAACTCCACATTTACTTGGTAATACTGGCGTGTTTATTTTGGAGCAGTGTCATAGAAGATGAGTTTTGTGTTTTGTATAGCAATCAGTTTTTTTTTCCTAGAAACGTATTCAGCAAATAACTGTTTTTAACCATTTTATATTCCATACTTTCTTTAGGTTTACTTAAATCTTATTTAAAAAGTCTTAAAATGGGATTTATGTGATACTGAAGAAAAAAATGGAAATAACTGCTACATGTAAAGAATTTGGGAGTAAATACCTTCTACACTGTCTCAGCTTTAAAGGAATGAATATGCAAAAACTGCCAGCAGGTTCATTTAGAGCAAAATCTTTGTAATACATTTATGGAATTGAAATCTGAATTACAATAATACATTGACAATCCAAAAATAGTTTTTGGACATTTGCAGCATACTTAACAAAATGTCAAAATATGTAGCATTTACTTTAAAAAGTGCCTTGGTAAACATTTAAACATTTAGTTGTTTACATTGTCCATAAAAAATATAAACATATATATTATATATGAGGCTTATAGTTACATAAAATACATAAATATATAGTACAAATGGGACATTATTATTATCTATATGTAATAATAATGTCCTATATTACTGTACATACTTTCATATGGGACATTTTATTATTGCATATATGTACATTATATAAAGCCAAAAGAGTGTGTGTGTGTATGTGTGCGCGTGCATATGTGTGGGTGTAACTGTGTTCCCACTTGAATATGTTCATGCATGTGTGTATCGGTGTGTTTCTGTCCCATATGAACCAGAGATCACATGTGTGTGTCAACAGTGTGTGTGCACCCAGTGTGAGTGTGTCACGCCTCCCTAAGTGACCCCACTACTCCGTAACCTTACGTCCCCCGAGTGCTACATGGTCCTGTATCACACCTGCAGCCTGCTCTGGGAATTCGGATGGTCAACTTAGCCACGAAGTCCTGCTCCACTTTCTAGCAAACCCCAACCAGAAGTGAACATTCCGACCACAGGGGAACATTTTGCTCTTTTTTCCATGTGACCTTACTTTTAATACTCTCATAATGTGTCTTTAAGTCTCCATGCAGTCAGACAATCGCTGAGCATAGAGACATGAGGCCGGCGCTGTGTCCATCAGACAGCCTCCTGTTGAGAGAGTTCAGGGTTCAGGCTGGATCCAGAGAAACAGCCCTGCAGACTCCCAGGACCCGCACCATGTGTGAGACCTGTATCCAGATTCCACATCATGTTTCAGCCTCCAGATCTCAAAGTGATGGTTTGGCTAAAAAACAAATGTACGCAATTTTCTCCTCTCCAAAGTTTGCTTCTTTAGTTTGCATCACTGGAGCTACAAGGCTAACAGAGCTAACAAATAAAGCAAGCTTATGCTCATTCATTAACTTGCTGTTTAACTTGATCACCACACTGCACTGAGTTGGTAAATAATCACAAATAGACTTTCTTGTGGGTTCTGACACTTTAAGATAGACTGATATCTATAAAATTGACAAAAGTACAGACCAACCAAGTTCAAACATGCTGCTGGTCCTGCTCTAAGCTATTCTGTGTACTTTTGTCCATTTATATAGATAAGAGTACCTTCAACAGTGTCATAAACCACATAAGCAAGTCTATGTAAGATTACTTAATAACAATATGCGCATGATGACATGCAGTTGGCTAACTTGTAAGTACTAAATACACTTTGGTTAAAGAGGAATCCACCATTTTTTCAACATTTCTGCATAATTCAACCATTAAATATGTGACCACAGTTTGGTGCAAAATGGGCCATTGTGGAGAAACAGCCAGAATTTTTTTTCACAGTGGTGGTGAAGGGAACCAGACGTCCAGAGTGTTTCAATGCATTTAAAAGCTACATCAGAAGTTATTATACAAATTGATCACGAATACTTTGCCTGTAGGCTGACACATTGTTTTACAATAGGTTTACAATAAGCTTTAGACCTAAACATTTTTTTAGAAATGCATGCCTCACAGAGAGGTTCATGCAGGGAATTTTTTTTTTTCAAATTTTCTACTATTTAATCTTCATAAACATAACATGTCGCTACTGTCCAAATAAAAACAAGTATCTCCAAAATAGTAACTTCACAGGAGAAGGCAAAAGCCCTGTTACCTTTAAATGTAAGTTAATGTAAAGAGATTTTAT